CGCAATATGAGTTGATGTGTTGCCATGTCAGATGTATGCTTGGACCATAATGCGATGTGCTTTGCATAGTCCAGGAATCTCGTTTGTTGCGAAACCGCTGAATGATTGATGATTGAGTGATTGTTTGTGTCGCATAACGATTAGCATGTAGGACCAGAACTTCACGCTTCCCGAATCGGACACGTATGTGCGCGCGCAAACGCGATCTAACGATCGCAGCCTACACGCGTCCACACGCGAACAATTATCGACTCGACGGGATGACACGATGATGAGCGTCGCGGATTAGGGAAGACCGCAGGACTCAGGGTATGACCCGTATGGGGGATACTAGGGAGGGGAACAACCTAGACAAAAAGGGAGTCTGAAGCACCTGGAATTCCCCTGTCTAACAAACGATCGGTTGTGTGCAAGGGATTTTTACCGAGCCGTGACCAACGATCCGAGGGGCCCCGACTACCCGACTACGTATAACAAGAATATTTCATCTCCCCCGGCTTCGTTGTTATCGCCACTAACTTTCCTCCCTTTCACCTCCTCCTTCCGTACCATCAAGTCGTGGTGGTCCCGTGCAATTCCATCGCCCCTTATTGGCCCCGCACGCCGTGTAAAGAGTGTCGACCGCGTAAGACACCCCGGACCTCGGGAGTCGCTCGGCAAACCCAAGCCAAAGCCACGTGGCAGCCGACCGAACCACGCAGGCAGTCGCGCAAGCAGAACCGGAGGAGAAGGTAATTACGAGTCGGAACCGGGCCGATGCTGGGGGCGGTGTTATTGGATTTTTCCTAAGGCCCAACGACACGTTCCGATCCAACTAAGCGGTAATTGTAGAAGTAACCCATCCCTTAGCCTGCTTACCCCTATGTTCCTGAGCCTTGCCACAGGAGATCCCAGTTCTAACCTGGGACTCCACCCCCACTTTCCAAAAATCCTTGGCACACCCCTTTTCACACTTCCAGGCCCACACTAGACTCCGATCAGAAAGTCGCGCCGGGCGTGAGGTTGGGCGTCACAATGCCGCGGGTTTTCGGGCCGGGCGAACCCGGTAGGCCTGCGGGAGCCCACCACCGTTCGAAATGGGGTCTGAAAACCCCGAAATGCCCTGTGCGCTGGGGGGGGGCCGGGGACCGACCGGCTGCACTGCCCGGCCAGGCCGCCCGGGACCCCACCCGGGCCCCAGCCAGCCCGTCGGGCGACCCGGAACCCCACCCAGAAAAAAAGTTGATTCCCTTAGTAGAAATCTCTCCTTAGTACCGACCTAGCCCTATTCCTGGAAATGACAAGCACTTGTTCTTATCCTGTTTGTCCCTTTTCCCTTTAGTCTTGCTGTATTCCAGGAGTCTGCAGCCCTTCCCTGAAAAATCAATTGCAGAGTCCATTTGGAGCTTATGGGGGAAATGCCTCTTCAGCCAAGAAATAAGCTGCCACAAGTGATCTTGTAGTTATTAGCATGTTCCCTTTCTAACTGTCTGGGTACTGAATAGTAATGAGGGACCCGGTGGCACTTGAGCCGTTTTTGGTATTCCTCGAGGGTCTTGTGACCCCGTGGCTGATGATGCCTTTGGTGGGCAATGTGCCCATCCAGGCCTAATCGTGTCATGGCAGCTGATACCAAGTGTGACACAGTTGTGACGCCCAACCTCACACCCGGCGCGACTTCCTGATCGGAGTGGGAAGTGGGCTTGGAAGTGCGAAAACGGGTGTGCCAAGGATTTTTTGGGAAAGTGGGGGTGGAGTCCCACGTCAGAACTAAGATCTCCTGTGGCAAGGTTCTAGGGGCACGGGTGCAATAAGGCTAGGAGCGGGCTGCGACCAGTGGTACGCGCGGTGCATCCGGGGCCGTCCGGTCCGTGGGTTCAACGGTGATTCGAGAGAGGCTCGGGGTGCGGTCTCTGGGGCTCGGACCTTCGGGAGCCGCCACGTGGCGCCTGTCGCCGCGCGTTGTGGTTGAGTGTCATTGTTTCAGGGGTCTGGTAGCGGTTGCGCCGTCTGCAGTTTCCACACGGTGTACGGGGCCAGTATTGGGCAATAGAATTCCACGACACCACTGTGAGTTGATGGTACAGGAGGAGAAGACGGAAGGGAGGAAAATTAGTGGTGATGACAACAAAGCCGGGGGATATGAAGTACTGTGTGTTGTACGTCGTTGGGTAATCGGGGCACCGAGGGTCGCTAGTGACAGCACAGTGAAACTCCCAGGGGCACAATCGGTTTTCGGTTAGGCAGGGAAACTCCGGGCGTCTCTGTCTGAGACACTCTCTCACCAAAGGGGCAAAATACTGGATCCCACGACGAGTCTGAGTCCCCCGAGTTCGTCATTTTGTCATTATGAAGCCACGAAATTCCTTAGTACGTGGTTACCCGGATGGGGAAATTCCGGGTTCATCGTTCAAAAGTTCCGCGCTTATCCTGATATTTGACGATTGCGATCGTCGCGTGTGAGTACGTGTAGGCCGCACAAAAGGGAATCGCGCTTACACGTGCTCATGCGGGACGACTGCTACGTCATGGATGCAAAAAGAGGCCATTGAATACACCCAATCAATCATCCCCGCAGCTGCATACATCAAGGCCTCCCAATCAGTCATCAACTATCTCGCAAAAGTGGAAAGAGAAGCGACAGCCACACCATTCAGATCACGCAATGCGACATTCATCCATACAATCAAAATGACACAGATTCGGGGTGATCCCAAGAGATTACGAGCAAACATGTGTATCGAAAGCAAAAGATGGGCGATCGTCCGAAACAGAAATCCAAAAAGAAAGCAAAAGAAGAATCGAGACAAAGGTGCTGAAAAGAAAATAAAGGCGAACCGCCGGTTATCGAACCCAAAACTTACATACAAGATGAAGGAGGTGATAAAGAAAATTGCAAATCCACACCCATCAACCTCAGCTCTCTCTCTCTCTCTCTCTCTCTCTCTCTCTCTCTCTCTCTCTCTTCTTTGATGCGGACAGTCCGTCGTCGCGCACCAACCCACGAAGTCGTCACCCCGCTTAGTCCTCCCGCACCCGTCAGGTTCGCCCGCGCCCACAATCCGTCGTGGCCCGTGTCAACCCCGCGCGTTTGGCACCAGCTCGTCGGGTCGCCCGACTCCCGCTTCAACTCACCTCTTACTTCGCTCGTGAGCCGACCCTCACTGATTGCGCTACCCCGAGCTTCCAACAGCTGGTTAAGAGAGTTATCTAATCGCGCAACTGGAATTTATAGTGTGCATGCGTGCGCGAAGAACACGAAATTGCAAGGACTTAGAAAGGAGATCAGGAGAGGGAGTGCCTACTTTCTGCATGGCCAGATCGCGGCGTGGGGGACGTAGCCTCTCTCCATGCATCGATCCGAGCATGCAGTACGCGGGCTGGCTAGACACGGCAAGAGAAAGCGAGAGCGAGAAAGACGAAGCTCAAGAAGGAAGATACAGTTACAATGGCGCCCACCCAAAATTACAGTTACACACACGATTAAAGACGCCGACTAATTAGACTTTCGTTGCAGCCGCATGAAGGAGCGTGTAAACAAAAAGCGCTGCGCGACAAAAGAAAATCCTAATTGCAAAATTCCTAAATTCCTAAATTCCTATCTAATGCAAAAAAAGCACAAGTGACGAAAAGAAGGTCCGAAATTCCGAGAGCTCTTGGGGCTTGACAAGATTCGAAAAAGAATTCAAAAGGAAAATTTAAAAAGGACGAAGCAAAATTCCCGCATGATGTTCGCGCCCAAAAGTCCAAAACCGAAACAGAAGAAGCGATGTCAACATTTATAAATTGCGCGCGCGACGGCGCGCCACTCACACCGTCGATCCACCAATCGATCGTCCCGGGACTCACCCGGCCCTGAACCCAACCATCCGAAAGACGACGAAAAAGGACGAAGAAGCGAGGACGCTGATGCAATTTCCCTTCCCATAATTGGCCCATCCTTCCCAACTTAGGACCCCTCGTTGCTACCCCGCAAAAGATCGCGCGGAACAGAAATCGGTTCGTCGCATATGTGACGCCTAGGGGGTTCCAAGCAAGCTCCTACTTGCTTGAATCTTGACACATGTTGACTTCCTTAATCGATCGACACGCGGAGCTTTCTGTATGGCCACTTACCATGTGAAAGAGTGTGAACGTCATCCAACATGGTATGTAAGCTCTGTCCTACAAATTCCTCAGGTGGGGTCTCGTCTATCCCAGAAAGGGATTATTCGTGCCATCGTCGTGGCACGCACACCAATCAACCGATCACCGATCGTCAATGTCCACCGGGGAGGGGAAACAAAAGTCGATACATGGGGGCATGGCGAGGGGGTGGGTAAGCGGGAAGCGGGGGGAAAAATCGTTCCACCTCGGCTATCGTTTCTGGAAGCTCCTGATAACGAACGATTCTATGGAAGTGGGGGAAGCGATTACCACTATGGGGGAGGGAGGCGAGGTAGTCGGGGTACAAGGTGGTGAAGGTGCGGAAGAGTGTCACGCGGAACTGGTCGTAGTCCTCGCATGCGGGGATAGTCCCCGTAATCATGCAATAAACTTCGACGATATTGTGCCCTCGCCACGCGGCACTGAGGAGAAGGGCGTGAAGGCAGAAATCGGGGAGGGCGCACCGGGTCGAGGGATGGGGGTGAACAGTAACGACGAGGCGGGTAGCGTAGAAGAATCGGAAGGTATCAATGGGGAAGGGGTTACGGGAGAAGGTGACACAGGTGGTGATTTGGCGGAGGGTGAGATGATCAAGGGGACGGCGGGATAACGACTGGGGACGAAGCACGATGGCCCACATTTGTACGGGCTCGGACTGATGGATGGTCGGAGGTGGAGGGGGAGGGGGATCAGCTTCATCGTCGCCTTGCTGGTGCGGTCGAAGTCTCGGCCGCTGGATCTCCATCTTCGGGTTTGGGCGGCATTGGATCTCGGGCCGGGTCGTCGGCGATCTGCAGGTTGGCTCCGCTGGCGAATTCCAGCTGTCGCTTTCTGGCCGCGATTTCCTCTCTCTTGCGCGCCGCCTCGGGGTCCTCTGCTTGAGCATCCGTTTGTTCCGCCTCTTCCGCCTCTTCCGCCGATATCTCCTACTCAGACTCCTCCAGTTCTAGCTCCTCCTCTCCTTCTTCCTCTTCCTCACTCTGCTCTCCTTCGCCGTGTTCGCTATAACTCCCCTCTTCCGGGGTTTCTTCCTTGTCGTCCTCCTCAGCAACTTCTTCTTCTTCGATAGCTATCTCCTCGTCTTCGGAGGCCGTTCGATCCTGGAAGAAGGCGAGATCGATGATTTCCCGTGGGTCCAGATAATCCCGCTGCGATGGCGGGTTGTGGCCGTTTCCCGCCGTTCCCGGCTCCTCCAGGCACGCCGACCACTGAAGGTATGGCGTCAAAGTCAGCGTGAGGACGTGCGGGATTGGGTTCTCGTCACTCTGCGAGACGATCTCGAGGGGGAGATCATCAACCAACTGCGCAAGGGGGACCGTGAGCTCCTGCACGATCAGCTGGCGATGGTCGGGCCGCACTGATCCGAAGAGGAATCCGAGAAGATCGCCTTCTACCTCCGTCCTCCAGGCCTGGATGATCAGCAGCTCCAGGTACTCAATCCACTCACGGTGCTCCTCGTCCCTTGTCCACGTAAGCTTCACTCCGACCAGGCACACCGAAAGATCGACGAAGTGCTCACACCACAGCCGCCACTGCCTTGGATCAAGAAGGGGGACGGCGAGCGGTTCCAGACAGAAGGAGAAGGGAGGGTGGACACTGGATTGCCAGAAGGTGGGAAAGAGAGATGCGAGAGCAAAAGTGGAGAGTTGGGAACGGTTCATTGGGGACGTTGGAAGGGGACGAGTTCGGAAAGCACTACCGCCGGCTTGCTGGAACGCTCGAATCCCACCGAGGTCGATGCCGTCCGTAGGGACAAGATTGTCCCCGCGACGCGTGAGCCAGTGGTTCCACTTAGCCGCCAACTGCTGGCCCCACTCCCGTAATTTCGTCCGGATGGCAGTATGCCGCAGCGCACTCACCGTGCTAATGTCGCCGCTGAAGGCGACAACCGTGGACACGTGGCTGATCCCCCGGAGCTGACTGTCGATGGACCGCTACTACCTCTGCCAGCATAACCGCTTGATGACTGCCTGCGAATCGGAACTCGGCTGCTGCATATACCCCTAAAGTGCAGAAGAATTGTGCGAGTCGTAGAAGATCCAGATTGTATCGCGGATGATGAACCTGTCAAATCGCGGAGATGCAGCCTCGTGGCGCTAGCAGATGATCGCCGAGAGCTCGCTCCGTAAGAAAACTCATGGCGATGATGACGGGGACGGAGTATGGGAAAAGGTGAGAGATGCAAGGGAGGAAGAAAGGGATGGAGAGTTGTCGTCTTCTTCCGTGGCGAAGGAGGAGGATGCAGGAGATAGGGAGGAAGGGAGGGGATGCAGGTAAGACACGTGGCAAACGATCGACCGTGTCGATCGGCTTCCCGAGACCTCCGGCACGAGGCGCACGGTGTTCACTCCGTTTGGTCCAAGCTCGATCACTCGGAATCGCCCGGGGCGCTATCTTACCTTGGCGAGCACATTTCCTCACCTGCACCAAGTCCCCTAATTTGTACTGGGGCCGCGGACCCGTATTTCCGTTACGGGCCTCGTAACTACGGATTTGCCGGCCGTGGGCCAACTCGGTCATTTTCTGGCGCTTTCGGGCCAATCGGGGCAGGGACCTTTCCATCAATTCCATGTGTCGTTTGGCTTTGTCTCAAACCGTGGCCCTTGTGGGTCGTCGGTTCAACGAAGATTCGTCTGGGAGTTTCGGTATCGACATGCAGGCCACACTATTGGTCCGTAATTGGAACGAGCTTAGGCCCGTCAATTCATGAGGCGTTCCGCGATGGACCGCCAAGATATGATCTACGATATCGGGCCAGATTCTGGGGTCCCGCGCCACGATATTACGTCATAGCGCAGTCTTTATCACCCTATTTGCATTTTCTACCAGCCCGTTAGATTGTAACATGTGGGGGGCAGTGTTCCGAATAGCGACGCCGTTTACGACCATATTCCTCAAGACTTCTCCCCTGAATTCTACCCCATTATCGGTCAGAATTTCCTCCGTGTCTTGGTGCATCCCTAAAAACCGGTTGAAGTATCGCGTGATTTCGGCCGCCTGTCGCGTTCGACATGGATACGCTTCGATCCATTTTGAAAAATGGTCTACGAACACGAGTAGGATTGAATATTCACAGCTATTGGGTCCAGGGGGCACCACAATGTCGGTAGTATCCATACTAACCCTTTGGAAAGGCCGTTCAACTACCGTTGGTACTATCGATCTTGGCGGCTGAATCGGCGCCTTATCAGCAGCGCAGACTTGACAGTTCGCGACGATGAATTTCACATCGTCACGAATATTAGACCACTACCACTCGTTTTTGTCGATTGCTGCTTCCGTGATTCGTACGGCAAAATCGGCAGCAGTTTCCTCGTGCGCTGTCTTTACCCAGTCATACCTCATGAATGGGTGCGGTACTACCATCTAAATTTCGTTACCATCCGTTTTTCGTTTTTTCAAGCGTCTCTCAACCCAGCGGTAGTCCCGAGCCCTTTCATTGTCCCTCCTCCGATCTTCCTTGGTGAAGTGCTAAAGGGGGTTACCGACTAGGGTAGCAATTAAGGCGATATTAGTCCATACTTCGGCCCTTCTAAGCCTCCGAGTCTTTTCCAACGCTTCTGACATGGCGTCGAGAAAGCGAGCCTCGGTCGGGATCTTATCGACCCGACATAAGGGACACCACCAGGGCTTATCACTATTTCGGTACTGGATGCACGAGCCATGGGCTCGTGCCACACACCGTTGACAGTCTACCTATTCCACATATCCTTCCCCGCTAGGACGCATAATGACCGAGTATACTCGAGAAATTTCTTTGCAAAAATAACAAAATTTATCAGGCAGGGAGAGAAGAGACAAGGAGGAGAGGGGAGAGAGAGGGGTTGTAGGGTAACCTCCGTCACCCATTGCCACCCGCCGGCCACGTGGGAGAACTGGCACTTGTCCCTAGTTGGGCCCGTTCGCCGACTCCGGTTCCTTCCACGGGATGATCTCCTCTGCCTTAGGCACTTTAGCTGGTCGATGCAGACATGTCAGTCCGTCCGCATTGCCGTGTCTCTCCGTCTTTCGATGGATGATGTTGAAGTCGTACTCCTCTAGGCGCACTGCCCAACAACTAATCATGCCCGTGTAATTAGTGAGCCTCTTCAGTGCTAACAGGGGCTCATGATCGGTGACAAGAAGGAACTTCAGTCCGTACAGATACAGATGAAAGTGTTGGATTCCCCACAGTACTGCGTAATATTTGCCCTGCGGGGCTGAGTCATTCCTTCGCTCGTCTGGTACTGTTCGTGACACATACTCGATGACATCTTCGCGGCCATCATTCCCCTTCTACGCTAAAATAGCGAAAATAGCCTCCGGCTGCCAGTCCGTGATGAGAATGAACTACTTCGAGGAGTCCAGTCGGATCAAAATAGGTGTCGTTGCCAGAGCTTCCTTGAGGGTTGCGAAGGCCTGCTCGCAATCCGAGTCCCAACTGAGGGGTTGGTCCTTCCTCAGCAGGTTCGTTAGCGGTAGTGCAATTGCGGCGAAGCCCTTGATGAAACAGCGATAGTACGAGGTTAACCCCAAGAAGGCCCGAACCTGCGTTAGTGACGTGGGAACAGGAGCTTCTTTCACCGCCGCGACCTTTCTCGAGTCAGGCCGCAATCCTCCACGTGTCACGACGTAGCCCAAGAATGAAATTTTCGAAAGGAAAAATTCGCTCTTCTCGAGCGCGATCTTGAATCCAGCGTCTCTCAGAGCACCTAATGTCCACTCGATATGTTGCGCATGACCATGATAGGTCTCCGAATAAACCAGGATGTCGTCCATGTACACGATGACGCAAAAGTTGATCATTCCCTGCGTTAACCGTGTCTTGTTGACGAAGTTCTGAAACGTGACATTCATGGCCCGCTGAAACGTGGCCAGCGCATTTCAAATCCCCCCCATCGGACATCGAACCCACTGCCACGTGCCTTCAAACAATACGAAGGCCGTCTTCGGCCGATCTTCCTCCTTAACCAGAATGTGATGGAAGCCATGCCGAATATCAAACTTACTGAAATAATTAGCACACCCAATCGCATCCAGCACATCATCAATCCGGGGGAGGGGGTACACATCTTTGGTCGTGATATCATTCAGTTTACGATAATCAATGCAGAAGCGGATCGATCCGTTCTTTTCGGTACAAATACTACCGGGAACGACCATGGTCCGGTGGCGGGTTCAATCCAACCGCTTGCTTCGAATTCTCGAATCCGTTCGAGAGTCTTTTTCCGCTCTACCAGGGAGTATCTGTAAGGCTTGCAGTGAATTGGGGAATGATTTTCCGTCTGAATTTCGTGTTGTATGATTAATGACAGTCCAATGTTTGTATCGTCATACTAATCGCTCCTTTGTATTCTTTCAGGATGTTCGCGATTAGGTGGTGGATCTCGTCAGGTACGTATCGAGGTACGTGCAACTTGTATGACTCCTCCCATATCCGTACATCGATGATGTGTTTTGTACCTACCCGCTCGGTATTTTCCGGCGGGGGCGCGGAGATGAAGGAGTTCTCCGATCGCCAGGAGAACACCATGGCCATCATCCGTGCATCTTGTTCTCGGATGGCCATGTGATCTTCAGGCGTCACTCCGTCTCAAATGTCTTGCCACGACACAGGTTTCGTGGCAATCTTAATCCCGAGTCCATTCTCGAGGCGCTCAGGGGTTCCAAAGAGTTTATCTCTACCCCTAAGCGTAACAATCGAATCTCTTTTTGCAGGTGTCAGCAGAGATTTCGGGAGATCCGTGATATCACAGTAGTGCCTTTTGTCGTTGTATCGGGCGAGAAGAGGGGAGATCCCTTCGTACAGGGTTCGAGGGGGTTCCAAGGAGTCGACCATCCTTGAAATCTGTACGGAGGTTCTCCCATAATCATTGCATGTGTTCTTCGCAAATCTTGGTCAGTTCTTCTCGGGGTTTTAGCATTCGTCCGCTGCACGGGGTAATGAATACGTTCTCCTACCATCTTCAGGATTACGGGATCGTCACCATCGTTGTTGTCTGCGTCCTTGGACGTCTGCCCGTGATCCCAGGTAATCATGCGAAGGGTACCTCTCATCGCGGGAGAAACTCGGGGAGCTATGTTAGCGGTAGAACGAAGAGTCAGTCTCATCGGCACAACATAAGGTTTCCCTCCCGTATTTCGGAGGATAATCGATCGTCTTTCGAAGTCCAGATTGGCTCACAGCGCGACCAGGGCGGAAAGGCCGAAAAGAACGTCGTAAGTATTGACATGTAATACTATGACGTCTCCCAAAGCATGCACCTTCCCTAATCGAAATGCAACATTGGTCATCCGTCCCACCGTTTTAATCTTTTCTTCGTCGGCGAAAACGAGCTGATCTCTTTCTGTTAGCATAATTAAGTCGTTCTTTCTTCCCGCTCTTTCAACTACCCGTAGCGAAATAGTCAAAACAACGGTTCCCGAATCAATGATGGCATTGTATGGAATTCCCCACACCTCAATGTCACATTCCGCGGATTTCCATAGGATAGGTTTAATCCGCAGGAAATGATCATCCTTCTGGATTAGCCCTATGCGTATCAGATCGGAAGCGCCTGCGGCATTTTTGTCTGACATTGGTCCTTTCGTTTTCGTGTTGGTCGTTGTGGCAAGGGCAAATTGTTTCCGATTTGCTTTGCAGTGCTGCAGCATACGTTCGTTAGCTTGTTCTGATACCAAAAGAAGATGACCAATCGGAAGAGGAATCCGATGATCCAATGCTCGGACGATGCTTAGAACATAAATTTCGCCAGTGATGAAGGTGGGTCCTCCCGACCCCATCTCTCCTGGAGAAGGTCGCCACTCCGCCACTTCTTTCTGTTCCGGCGCGGGTCTGATTGTTCCAATCATTCCAAGCCCCGGATACCCAAGTGATACATATTGATCCAATAGAATGAGCTCAGCAGCCTCCTCCGTGGTAGTTAACGTACTTCCTCCGCCTTCCATCTCTTCCATCAGTGCCCCTACCCGTCCAGGTCCGTTAGAGATGGGGGCCGCTGCCATTGGTGCGACCCCGACCCGTGGTTGCGGGGGCCGATGGGAGCAATCTCGAGCTAGATGCCCCGATTGATGGCATGCGTAACAGACATTCAGATTGCCCGCGGCCCCTCCAAGAACAGGTGCCGGAGCCAGTCCTTGTTGGATTGGGGCGGCGCATACTGCGATGGGCCGCATATTTCTCATCATAGCCTCGAGCCGAGCATTATGCACTCGCTGTTCCTTTTTGCTTTCTTGGATTAGGCTAATCAGTGTTTTGGTTAGCTCCATAATGGCGGTCGATTCGTTTGACCGTACGGGGTTCTCGATCGGTGGCGGGGGTGTCGTTATTACAGGTGCTGACATCACCGGAACGGGCATGCCCGTAATCACACTCGGTGGCGGTCGTTTAGGGGATATCTGCTCCAGATAGGTGACAGGACCTGACACAAACCCCATGTTTTCGAACTTGTTTTGCAACGCAGCCAGCTCAGCCTTTGCCCTCGCAAGTTCGGACGAGTCTCCTTCCTTAGGATAGTCTTCTCCTTCTAGAAAACTCGCCGCGAACTTTCATTCCATTTCTTATGCTGCAGCCATGATCTGTTGCAGCGTATGATTGATGGGGTAGAACTATTTTCGGAGTTCCGCCCTCATCGTTTGGCTGCGAAGTTCATCGATAAACAAATCTCTTCCTACTTGCTCACCTCGCTCCGTCTTTATAAACATTCGAAAAAACCGGTTGCGATATTATGTGACAGACTCGAGGGGTTTTTGAACTCGGTCCTTAATCATGAAGAGTGCTTGTTCCAAATGAATATAATCAAACTTGTTCAAAGAATCTCGCTCGCAGGTCGGAAGATCTACCCATACATAGGTACCAAACCAATGATGAGCGTCCCCTCCTAATCGAGCGTGAATGTTCACCTGAGCTTCGTTATCGTCATACTGCTGAGCTCGGAGTGTGGCTAGCCATGCTCCAGCAAGATGATGCGGAGGATCAAACAGATAGAGGTCGGGGGCGTCATGGGAGCCCATGCTCGTGATGCGGGTTGATTAGGATTTTGTTTATGGGGTTTTGTTACGGATTCGGATTCTGTGGATTAGCGTTCATGTTGGCCGCCCGTTGATTAGCCGATCTGCTTCTAGTGACGACGGGGTCGCGTCTATGCGCGTTTCGAGGTCGAGATCACCCTCGGTTAGCCAGATCGCTCAATTATCATGTTGTTAGTCCTACAACCCGGCCGCGTGTCGGGCTCCGATACCAACCTCACGCCCGACGCGACTTCCTGATCGGAGTGGGATGTGGGCTTGGAAGTGCGAAAAGGGGTGTGCCAAGGATTTTTTGGGAAAGTGGGGTTGGAGTCGAAGGTCAGAACTGAGATCTCATGTGGCAAGGTTCTAGGGGCACGGGTGCAATAAGGCTAGGAGCGGGTTGTGACCAGCGGTACGCGCGGTGGACGGCCCGTGGGTTTAACGGTGATTCGAGAGAGGCTCGGGGTGCGGTCTCTGGGGCCCGGACCTTCGGGAGCCGCCACGTGGCGCCTATCGCTGCGCGTTGTGGTTGGGCATCGTTGTTTCAGGGGTCCGGTAGCGGTTCCGCCGTCTGCAGTTTCCGCACGACGTACGGGGCCAGTATTGGGCAATGGAATTCCACGGCACCACCGTGAGTTGATGGTACAGGAGGAGAAGATGAAAGGGAGGAAAATTAGTGGTGATGACAACAAAGCCGGGGGATATGAAGTATTGTGTGTTGTACGTCGTTGGGTAATCGGGGCACTGAGGGTCACTAGTGACGGCACTGTGAAACTCCTGGGGGCACAATCGGTTTTCCGTTAGGCAGGGAAACTCCAGGCGTCTCTGTCTGAGACACTCTCTCACCAAAGGGGCGAAATACTCCGGATCCCATGATGAGTCTGAGTCCCCCGAGTTCGTCATCTTGTCATTGTGAAGCCATAAAATTCTTCAAGTTTAGTACGGATGGGGAAATTTCGGGCTCGTCATTCAGAAATTCCGCGCTTATCCTGATATTTGACGATTGCGATCGCCGCGTGTGAGTACGTGTAGGCCACGCAAAAGGGGATCGCGCTTACACGTGCTCATGCAGGACGACTGCTACGTCACAAATGCAAAAAAGGGCCATCGAATACACCCAATCAATCATCAAATTAGTCATCCCCGCAGTTGCATACATCAAGGTCTCCCAATCAATCATCAACTATCTGACAAAAGCGGAAAGAGAAGCGACAGCCACACCATTCAGTTCACGCAATGCGACACTCATCCATACAACCAAAATGACACAGATTCGGGGTGATCCCAGCAGATTACAAGCAAACATGTGTATCGAAAACAAAAGATGGGCGATCGCCCGAAACAAAAATCCAAAAAGAAAGCAAAAGAAAAATCAAGACAAAGGTGTTGAAAACAAAATAAAGGCGAACCGCCCGTTATCGAACCCAAAACTTATATACAAGATGAAGGAGCCGATAAAGAAAATTGCAAATCCACACCCATCAACCTCAGCTCTCTCTCTCTCTCTCTCTCTCTCTCTCTCTCTCTCTCTCTCTCTCTCTCTCTCTCTCTCTCTCTCTCTCTCTCTCTCTCTCTCTCTCTCTCTCTCTCTCTCTCTCTCTCTCTCTCTCTCTCTCTTCTCCGATGCGGACAGTCCGTCGTCACGCACCAACCCACGAAGTCGTTACCCCGCTTAGTCCTCCCGCACCCGTCAGGTTCGCCCGCGCCCACAGTCCGTCGTGGCCCGCGTCAACCCCGCGCGTTTGGCACCAGCTCGTCGGGTCGCCCGACTTCCGCTTCAACTCACCTCTTACTTCGCTCGTGAGCCGACCCTCACTGATCGCGCTACCCCGAGCTTCCAACAACTGGTTAAGAGAGCTATCTAATCGCGCAGCTGGAATTCATAGCGTGCATGCGTGCGCGAAGAACACGGAATTCCAAGGACTTAGAAAGAAGATCAAGAGAGGGAGTGCCTACATTCTGCATGGCCATATCGCGGCGTGGGGGACGTAGCCTCTCTCCACGCATCGATCCGAGCATGCAGTACGCGGGCTGGCTAGACACGGCAAGAGAAAGCGAGAGCGGGAAAGACGAAGCTCAAGAAGGAAGATACAGTTACAATGGTGCCCGCCCAAAATTACAGTTACACACACGATTAAAGGCGCCGACTAATTAGAGTTCCGTTGCAGCCGCATGAAGGAGCGCGTAAACAAAAAGCGCTGCACGGCAAAAGAAAATCCTAATTGCAAAATTCCTAAATTCCTATCTAATGCAGAAAAGGCACAAGTGCCGAAAAGAAAGTCCGAAATTCCGAGAGCCCTCGGGGCTCGACAAGATTAGAAGAAGAATTAAAAAAAAAAAAGCAAAAAGGACGAAGCAAAATTCTCGCGCGATGTCCGCGCCCAAAAGTCCAAAACCGAAACAAAAGAAGTGACGTCAACATTTATTAATCGCGCGCGCGGCGGCGCGCCACTCACACCGCCGATTCACCAATCGATCGTCCCGGGACTCACCCGGCCCTGAACCCAACCATCCGAAAGACGACGAAAAAGGACGAAGAAGCGAGGACACTGATGCAATTTCCCTTCCCGTAATTGGCCCATCCTTCCCAGCTTAGGACACCCCGTTGCTACCCGGC